AGTGTGTATCATGGTCTCTGAGGACAGGTGTCAATCCATACCTGCCAAGTGACCCTATGTAGGGGGAACAGACCCTATTCTGCTCTGTGTCAATATGTCATATGTCAGGTATCAATCCATATCCTATGTGATTTAGGAATGTTAGGTGATTTCTGCCCTTTATGGATTAAGACCAGACTCTGCATCAACTGTGTAATTTTCCATGGGAGTTTTGCCATGGATCCCCCTCCGGCATACCACAGTCCAGGTGTTAGTCTCCTTGAAACAACTTTTCCATCACTATTGTGGTCAGAAAGAGTCCCTGTGTGTTTTAAAATTCGTCTGCCCATTGAAGTGTTCGCGACATCACTATCAGGAAGCACAGATTGCCGCTGGGTAGGGCTGCCGCTGATTGGCTAGAGTGGTCGGCTGGCACTCTAAGCCAATCAGTAGCTACCCATTCATAAAAAAGTAAAAAAATTTTATGAACTGGGAACTAGCGATTGGCTTAGAGAATCAGCTGACCACTCTAGCCAATCAGCGGCACCCATGCCTGATGCCTGCACTTCCTGACACTCCGTTTCAGAAGCCGAATACCACTGAGCGACCTGGAGATCTGGAGGTGGAGGTATCTTGTGGGGTTAAACCATTTGGGAGCGGTTTAACCCCTTAAAGGAAAGAGAGCGCCCAGTGGCCTCCTGGCATTATAGCATTTTATTTAGATGAAGTTGTTATGGTGACCAGAATGTTCCTTTAATTTGCTTAAAGGAACACTATAGTGTCAGGAATACAAACATGTATTCCTGACACCATAGTTGTGAAAACGCTATTCACCTCGGCTTTTTGTGATAATGACTATGCCCCTCCCCTTCATGACACTGTCAAAAAAGGGACCAAGCATGGATGCCATTACAATTATGCCCCCCCCCCCCTCCCCGGAACATTTCCTGCAGATTCCCATGCACACAAACCCTGTTAATGTTGCAGTTCCATAGAAGAAATACTTCTGAGAGTAGACTCTGTACAGATGTATGAATTAATGACAGACCTTCATAGCAAACAATGGCGTGCATGGCCCACCTTAAGCCCTTATCAAAACACAGCCTAAAATGAGATTTATTGAGTACAAACTGTAGTCAAAAAGTATTCCAGCCCATCTTATTTCGTAAAATATAATAGATTTTAGAATCTCACACAACCTTCCAACACCCTCCCCCCTTTTTTATTTAAAATTTTAGTTGTTGGTTTTCTTTATATTTTAAATTTTGATTTTAAAATAAATCATCTTACATAG